AACTCAGAGCTTCCTGTGATAAAGTCCGCTCACTGCTGCTCCCTCTCCTTGTGCAGGGTGACTGGTCTTGTCTCCGCCCCTCCTGTAGTGGGTGGAGCCTGCTTGGTCCTTCCCACAACTCTGCTCTCTCTGCACGGGATATGATGACGCCATTGCTACTTTTAAAGGATAATATCTGGGTGTCCAAAGGCATTTATATAGTGCCAACAATTTTACACAGCACATTCACATCAGTCCCCGCCCCTGAGGAGCTTACAATCGAAGGTCCCTATCTCACATACATATGTACAAGGGCCAAATTTAGACAAGAGCCAAGTAACCTTCCAGCATGTCTTTGGAGTGTGCGAGGAAACCCACCAAGCACAGGGAGAACATGCAAACTCCTTGCAGATAGTGATCTGGCTGGGATTCAAACCAGGGACCCTGAGCTCTACAAGATAGAAGCGCTAACTGGCCTTGGTTTTGGTTTGCATGCACAGTCAGAAATCCAGGTTCAGCAAATGTCTAAGCAAACCAAACTCAGGGCCACCTGTGTCCCAGCAACCAATGACGCTGCATGACCTACACAGTGTCATAGATTGCTAAGATGCTAGTAGTTGGGCCACACAGCGTCATTGGTTGCTAAGATGCTACCGTGTTTCCCCGAAAATAAGACCTACCGCGAAAGTAAGTCTTAGCACTATTTTTAAAGGAGAACTATGAGGTGAGTGCTTTTCACTCACCTCATAGTTCTAGCCGACCTGTGATAATAAGACTGTCACATGTCGGCTCAGTAGATCGGGAGGTGAGCGGACACATACCGGCGTTTACTCACCTCTCGATCCTTTCACGGCTCTCTGCCGTGACAGGGGAGGGGCTGGATTCTCCCCTCCCCGATCCGCCAGCGCTGACTGGCGGATCGGACGGGGGCGGGTACAGCTGGCACTGCCTCTAGATAGGCAGAGCCAGCTGTCACTCACGCAGCTGGGCAGATCCAGACATAATTGTCTGAGCTTAGGGTGACGGGAGGACGCTAGTTTGTGTCCTCCCGTTACCCTAAGGAGAACTATGGGGTAAAGCCTTAACCTCATAGTTCTCCTTTAAACATTCCTGTAATATAATACCTACCCCGAAAATAAGACCTAGTTTGGGGTGGGGGCGGCCCAGAGAGCAACCAGAGTACATGGCGGGAACTAACCGCTGCGCCGCAGCTCCCGCATGCCGTCCCTGTCACGAAATCAACAGACACCTGTCTTCCTCAGCCTTTGCTCATAGAGCTGCCGCCGGGCAGAAAACTAAATTTCCCAGCAGGCATGCAGCACAGCGCGGCAAGGAACCTATGGCCAGTGGGGTCGGAGTGAGGTGACTGAGCCTCAGTCACTGAGGGAACTTCTGACTGGAGGTCCGTGCGGTCCAGCCTGGCGACAAGAGAGGTGGCTCCCTGGCGGGGATCCCACAGAGAACTGTGGACGGCATCAGAGAGGAGAGCTCCAGGACAGCTGCAGCCTGCAGGTATTGTGACACTGTGTGTGACAGTATTTAAAATAAGACATCCCCTAAAATAAGACCTAGTGTGTTTTTTTGGGGAAAAAAATATATAAGACAGTGTCTTATTTTTGGGGAAACACGGTATTGGCTGGGCCACACAGCATGATTGGTTGTTGGGTTGCATGCGACGCACTATGACAACACATGACACTGTAAGGCAGGGGTGGGCAACTCCGGCCCTCCAGCTGTGCTTTAACTACAAATCCCATCATGCTTCTGCCTCTGGGAGTCATAACTGTAACTGTCAGTCTTGAAATGCCTCATGGGACTTGTAGTTCCACAACAGCTGGAGGGCTGGAGTTGCCCACCCCTGCTGTGGAGCCACCTGTGTCCTAGCAACCAATGATGCTGTGCAATGCACACAGAGGGGAATTTATGAAAACTGGAGCCGACATAAACTGGAGCAGATTTCATTGCAACCAATCAGCTTCTATCTTTCATTTTCAAATCTCAACTGAGGAAACGGAAGAGAGATGCTGATTGGTTGCCATGGGCAACTGTTCTTGTTTCTGTCTGCTCCAGTTTTGATAAATTCCCCCTACAGTTTCAATGGCTGCTAGGATGCAGGCCAGTGCAATGCAACAACCAATGACAGGTTGGGGCTGCCTACCTCCTATCAACCAATTGCACTGTGCAGTTCATCTGCTAGCATCCTAGCAACCAAAGATGCATCGGGTTGGTCATTGGTTGCTAGGTCATGCCAGGTGCCTGGCTGTTATGCTGACTATGCAGGAAAGAATCAGGTCCTCATCTGTGTACATGTTACAGGTCAATTAGTCAAAGTGTTGGTGCATGAGGCTCAGCATGGCGGCCAGGCAACCAGCATTTTTTGAAAGCAAATGGCAGCCCCTGTTATTCCCTACAACAAATCCAACCAATGGATGGAGTGGGGAAGGTTTAGAACCTGTATCATCATGTATTGCCATCTTTGTCCCCTTGAGGAAGATTTGCACTCACTTCCGGTCTTGATGAAAGGCGTCAGAACAGGAAGTGAAGGAAAATCTTCCCAGCAAGGATGCCCATATTATTTTAAATCATTCCCAGCCCTACCCATGATGATGATGAGATGATGTCATCAGTCTGCTGCTGGTGATCAGACTGCAACACTGTAACTTTGTAGTGACAGCTCTTTAGGATGGAAATTCCTCTCACTTCGGGGAGATTTGCTTTTATTTCCCATTCTCAGGGAAAGGAAATCAAGATACATCTCCCCAGTGGATCTATACAGTACATACATGTTGCTCTATTCTATGACAGTGCTAGGAGGGGAGGAAAAGGATCAATTTTGCCCTGGCTGTCAGTGCTGATGTCAATGCAGGCAGGGTGGAAGGGGTTAAAGTTGTATTAAACTCTCAATCTTTTTCCCAATAATGAATCCAGATCAGACAAATACCCATGGCCCAGCATAGTTTTATTTTTACATCTTTGCACAAACACTTATAGTCGTCATGTTTCTGAACAGCTCCAACTCTCTCAGCTCTGCTTCTCTGAACTTCCTGTCTAGTACAAGATCACAAGGGACAGAGCAGTCTCCAGCAACTGTTAATCTACCAGCTTGGAGAATGGGGGAGGAGGGGAGTAGATTGCTTTGCTGAGTCTGTGAAGACACAGACAGCATACTAGCACACACAAGGGTAGCTCTATTGGACCCTGCAAGGGACATCAGGGCCAGTGCTGATGGGAGCAGCTGATTCTGCAGGAAACTAAAACTTTTAAACATCAAGAAGCAGCGTCCATTGTAAATTATTTCAACAGCATTTGAAATAGCTTAAAAACCTTTTGACTTTTATATCACTTTGATGTTGCTTTGGGATATTGTCGGGCAGGAAGGAGTTAATTTTACTCTGGGGTGGTTTTAGGCAGTAAGGTATTAGTTCTGCTCTGGGATGGTGTCGGCAGGAAGGGGTTAATGTTGCTGAGGGATGGTGTCGGACAGGAAGAGGTTAATATTGTGCAGGGATGGTGTTGAGCAGGAAGGGGTTAATATTGCTCAGGGATAGTGTCGGCAGGAAGGGGTTAATGTTGCTGAGGGATGGTGTCGGCAGGTACAAGGGTAGCTCTATTGGACCCTGCAAGGGACATCAGGGCCAGTGCTGATGGGAGCAGCTGATTCTGCAGGAAACTAAAACTTTTAAACATCAAGAAGCAGCGTCCATTGTAAATTATTTCAACAGCATTTGAAATAGCTTAAAAACCTTTTGACTTTTATATCACTTTGATGTTGCTTTGGGATATTGTCGGGCAGGAAGGAGTTAATTTTACTCTGGGGTGGTTTTAGGCAGTAAGGTATTAGTTCTGCTCTGGGATGGTGTCGGCAGGAAGGGGTTAATGTTGCTGAGGGATGGTGTCGGACAGGAAGAGGTTAATATTGTGCAGGGATGGTGTTGAGCAGGAAGGGGTTAATATTGCTCAGGGATAGTGTCGGCAGGAAGGGGTTAATGTTGCTGAGGGATGGTGTCGGCAGGAAGGGGTTAATGTTGCTCAGGGATGGTGTTGGGCAGGAAGGGGTTAATGTTGTGCAGGGATGGTGTTGGGCAGGAAGGGGTTAATATTGCTCTGGGATGGTGCTGGGCAGGAAGGGGTTAATGTTGCTCTGGGATGGTGTCGGCAGGAAGGGGTTAATGCTGCTCTGGGATGGTGTTGGGCAGGAAGGGGTTAATGTTGCGCAGGGATGGTGTTGGGCAGGAAGGGGTTAATGTTGCTCTGTACTGGTGTCAGGCAGGAAGGGGTTAATGTTGCTCTGGAATGGGGTCGGGCAGGAAGGGGTTAATGTTACTCTGGGATGGTGTCGGGCAGGAAGGGGTTAATGTTGCTCTGAGATTGTGTCGGGCAGGAAGGGGTTAATGTTGCGCTGGAATGGGGTCGGGCAGGAAGGGGTTAATATTGCTCTGGAATGGTGTCGGGCAGGAAGGGGTTAATGTTGCTCTGGGATAATGTCGGGCAGGAAGGGGATAATGTTGCTCTGTACTGGTGTTAGGCAGGAAGGGGTTAATGTTGCTCTGGGATAATGTCGGGCAGGAAGGGGATAATGTTGCTCTGTACTGGTGTTAGGCAGGAAGGGGTTAATGTTGCTCTGGGATAATGTCGGGCAGGAAGGGGATAATGTTGCTCTGTACTGGTGTTAGGCAGGAAGGGGTTAATGTTGCTCTGGGATAATGTCGGGCAGGAAGGGGATAATGTTGCTCTGTACTGGTGTCAGGCAGGAAGGGGTTAATGTTGCTCTGGGATAATGTCGGGCAGGAAGGGGTTATTAGCTCTTGGATTCATCAGAGCGGCCAGTCAGGCGTTAGGTGGGCGGAGCAATAACTGGTCAGGTGGGCGGAGCAGCGCGGGGAGAGGGCGGGGTGGAGCGAGGAAGGGAGGGACGGACGGACGGACGGTCAGGCAGCGCGCGCTCCCGTTCTCTCCTTTCGTGCTCGCGCCTGTCACTGTCCTGTCACCCGCCGGGGCCCCCAGTGCCCGCACCGCCCCGGGGCCCGCACTGACACTCATAGAGAGACAGCCGGGGAAATATGGAGAGAGACAGACACTGTGTGAGAGCTTCACCCTCTGAGAGCAACTCCGGAGTCAGTGCTGAGAGACACAGAGACCGCTGACACCACAGTGCTGGTACGAACACTGAGAAAGAGACCGAGACCTCACACTGACTGACAGAGAGACCTCACACTGACAGAGAGACTGCACACTGACTGACAGAGAGAGAGAGAGAGACACCTCACACTGACTGACAGAGAGAGAGAGACCTCCCACTGACAGAGAGAGACTGCACACTGACTGACAGAGAGACTGCACACTGACAGAGAGAGACTGCACACTGACAGAGAGAGACTGCACACTGACTGAGAGAGAGAGAGACACACCTCACACTAACTGACAGATACCTTACACTGACAGAGAGAGTGCACTCTGACTGACAGAGAGACACCTCACACTGACTGACAGAAAGACTGCACACTGACTGAGAGAAAACGTGCAATGATATACTGAGAGAGTGCACACTGAGTGAGAGACATCATACACTGAGAGGGAACACAGTGCAGGGGAAGGTTAGGAGAAAGAGAGTGTAAAGGTGAACAAAGAGTGGAGGAGAGAGTGCAGTGAGTGGAGGAGACAGGAGAGAGTGCAGTCAGTGGAGGAGAGAGTGCAGTCAGTGGAGGAGACAGGAGAGAGTGCAGTCAGTGGAGGAGAGTGCAGTCAGGGGAGGAGACAGGAGAGAGTGCCATCAGTGGAGGAGACAGGAGAGAGTGCCATCAGTGGAGGAGACAGGAGAGAGTGCCGTCAGTGGAGGAGAGTGCAGTCAGGGGAGGAGACAGGAGAGAGTGCTGTCAGTGGAGGAGACAGGAGAGAGTGTGGTAGAGTTCTGCGAGGAGTGGAGAGAGTGCAGTCAGTAGAGGAGAGAGTGGAGTAGACAGGAGAGATTGCAGTCAGTGGAGGAGGTTGGAGAGAGTGCAGTCGGTTTGGTAGAGTGCTGCGAGAGTGTAATCAGTGTGGTAGAGTGCTGCGAGGAGCAGAGAGAGATTGCAGTCAGTGTGGTAGAGTGCTGTGAGGAGCAGAGAGAGAGAGAGAGAGTGCAGTCAGTGTGGTAGAGTGCTGCGAGGAGCAGCGAGAGTGTAATCAGAGTGTGGTAGAGTGCTGTGAGGAGCAGAGAGAGAGAGAGTGCAGTCAGTGTGGTAGAGTGCTGCGAGGAGCAGCGAGAGTGCAGTCAGTGTGGTAGAGTGCTGTGAGGAGCAGAGAGAGAGAGAGAGTGGTGCAGAGAGCGCGGTGTCCCTGGCAGGGGCCTCTGTGTGTCCCAGTTGCTTTTCTTTGCTGGGAACAATGTGTGATTGTTGTGGGGGTGGGAGGGGGCAGCACTCCGCAGCACTCTGGAAGGTGGCAGATCCCAGTGAACAGCTTGCTGTGTCCTGTCCCAGGGATGACGAGCATTGTGCAGGATCTGACTGACAGGAGAGAGCTCCCCGCACTGCTGGCCCTTTAACAGCGATCTGTGAGTGTGAGTGTGTGTGAGTGTGAGGAGAGGTCTCACTCCGCTCTGCACTCCTTGACAGGTTCTCATCCAGCCATCAGAAGTGGCGGCTGTGACAAAGGGATATTGTGCTGGATTCAGCATGCTCACCGAGCCAGACGCACCGCCGGAGTTTGAGAGGTGAGTGCACTTTTGCTGCTACGTTCTCCCTGTGTGTATGTTCTATTGTCAGGGACCTGGATGTGCCCAGATTTCACCCTGCTGTGCCCGGACTATACCCACATCTGCCCAGACTCTGCCCTGGTCTCTTCACCCTGCTCCTTGTTCCTCCATGAGTCCACACTACACCCCGCTCTCTCCCATACTCCCTGCACTCTTCCCGTGTCTACCACGCTCTATGTTCCATCAGTCCAGCCTGTCTCCTGCTACACAGTCCCTGCGCTGTGCCTGATCTCTGCACCCTGCTCCAGGATCTGGTTACTTCTGCCCTTTTCCCATGCACCCCTTCCTGTGCTTTGTGCACCCTGCCCATCTCCATGCACCCTTCCCTAAGCTGCCTGCACCCTTCTCCGTCTCTATGGACCCTTCTCTATACTGTGTACACTCTGCCTGTCTCTGTGCACCTTTCCCTATACTGTGTACACTCTGCTCGTCTCTGTGCACCCTTCCCTATACTGTGTACACTCTGCCTGTCTCTGTGCACCTTTCCCTATACTGTGTACACTCTGCCGTCTCTGTGCACTCTGCCTGTCTCTGTGCACCCTTCCCTATACTGTGTACACTCTGCCGTCTCTGTGCACCTTTCCATATACTGTGTACACTCTGCCGTCTCTGTGCACCCTTCCCTACACTGTGTACACTCTGCCGTCTCCGTGCACCCTTCCCTATGCTGTGCCCACCCTGTCCCTTCTCCATGCACCCTACCCTATGCTGTGTGCACCCTGCCTCTTCTCTGTGCACCCTTCCCTATGCTGTGTGCACCCTGCCTCTTCTCTGTGCACCCTTCCCTATGCTGTGTGCACCCTGCCTCTTCTCTGTGCACCCTTCCCTATGCTGTGTGCACCCTACCTCTTCTCTGTGCACCCTGCTTCCTGGCTCCCTACACAACAGGCTGTCGCGGTGTTGCCCTCTGCCTCCCTGGCTCTGCTTACACAACTCCCCAGCAAGCTGGGTTTAGGGTCGGAGCTCTGGCTGCACTCCTCGCAGGAGTAGTCCATCCCGGTACTGCCATAGCTGTAGTGGGCTTATAGCGGGCTAGCCGTTCATAGAGGCAGTTCCTGCAGAGTTGGTACTCTGAGAAGTAGCCCGCTTCCAGGAAGTGCTGGCACAAGTAGTGACAGTCCTTGCAGCTCTGTTGTGTGCACAGGGAGTCCCCCTGCCGAAGTAGTCTGCACAGAGAGTGCCGGTCGCCCACCAGAGTGGGGATTTTCCTAATCGACTGCTCTTGGAGCCTGGTCATCTGCCCAGTGTATGGCCAGCATATCCCTAATCTCTGCCAATCCCTGGATGCTCCGGACTGATCCCCCTCATCCTTCATCTCCCCTCTCCGTCTTCTTTTCACATTTCCTTCCTGCTTTCCTTTTCCATCCCAACCATTCTCCTCTGACATCCTGCGTCCATTTCACCCAGACCCCCCCCAGTGTGTCCGAACACCCGCTCACTGCCTACGTCCCCCCCATCCTCCAAACTTTTACATCCCTTCATGTCTGTGTGAACACCCCGATCTACCGTCCCAGTGTACGAACAGCACAAATATATTCCGCTTCAGGCAAATGTTTCCATTACAAAGTCACTCGTACATACTTGGCCTCATTCCTCAATTATCAGCGCCGTGAGTGTCACCCCGCAAAAGTCGGTCGGTGTACGCAAGTTTTTATTCTGTGTGTGTGATGTCCACAAGTGGCATTTGCTGGCATTTTGGGCTTTTTGTTTTTCCTAACGTGTAGCCGAAATGGAAAGGACAATGTGTGTAGAATGTCGGTGAGAGTTTGTCGTATTTTCTTTGTATATATATTTGTTTTCCTTGTGAACTGAACGCTTTGTTACGAAGTGACAGGCGAGAATCCATTTCACATTTTTCCAGCGTTCAAAGGTCGTTCCTCTATCAGCTCACACAGAGGATTCATATGTTTTTGTTTTTTTTCTTTCTCTCCTCTATTTAACTTGTAAGCGCCGGGCGTTGGGGACCTGTTTGCTCTCCCTTAATCCCATTACAGAATAATTGATTGAGAGTCGAGCGGCTCTCCCGGTAAAACATCACCCCTCCGGAGCAGCCGGCAAAGTTTTGGAAAAGTTTGGAGCGTTGGTCGCAGAGGCCTGACGTTTCCTGCCAATCGCTTGCTTTCTTCCCGGCTTACGGCTAGATCACCTTAGCGGATTCTTAATCTCGGTTGGCATCGGTCTGTCAGGCGTCCGGGTTTTTATCTCGTGCTGATTTAGGAGCAGGATTGCCGAGTGCATGTTTTTTGTTTTTTTTTTAATTCGTCGAGATAGTGTGACATTTTTTTGCTGCAAAACAGTGTGACAGTTTTCGGGAAGGCCGGGGTGATCCCTTCTACACCCGAGCTTTTGTCACGGTGTTGTTAGTGGCAGCTGTGTTTTTTTTTTTCCCCTTCCTCCCCTGTTCACTATTAACACGTCCCTTCCTATCACAGCAGATGCTTGTCAGATGTGCTGGCTAGTTTGCGCTCTGAGGTCTGTGATTAGATTTCGCTCGGCGTTCCCCAGGCGTGCTGGCTGACTGTCCTGTTCTGCTCCTCGTGGCGGTCACGACTGTGTTGCTCCCCTTCCCCGGTCCGTGCACACAGCAAGGCCTGCGTCTCCGCTCCTGGCATCCCTGGGGGTGGGGGATGCCTGCGTCCCTGACCAGCGTCGGCCGAGCCGGGAGGTGTGTTTCTGACTAGGTCATTGCGAAACGGATAACGCTGGGATGCCTGTGCTTTCCGACTGGTGATAAAAAAAAGCCATCGGACAGAGAGGACAAGTTGTCGCCCGCTGAAAGTTGTGTAAGTTTTTTTTCTTTTTGTACCCCTTGGCACATTATCAGTCTGTTTTTTTAAAACTTTATGGCAGCCTAGGTCGAAAACAAGTAAAGCGGCGACAAATGTGACATTGTGGCCCCTAGCCGGAGCCTGCGGAATGTATTGTATGTTTATCCCACCCCCCACTCCAGCCCTGCATGGAGGGGTTAAGATAAACTACTTGGGGGGAGTGTATTATAGGCTTGTATTTTCTACATCACAATTGCTGCAAAAAAAGGGCATTACACAAGCGGCAGGATGCCCCGCATCTAACAAAAACGCAGGTTGGAGCGAAAAAATATCTGCCGAGGAGAAGGAGGGCTGTAATAACTGACTCATTCGAACACCCACTGAATTTATTTTGGGGTTACGACAACAATGGGCAACTGTAAATCCCCTTCGGCGCCTTAGCCAGCTCTAGGGTCGGTGCCAGGCGTTGGGCGCTCATTGTTCCAGGGACACTGGGGGGGGGGGGGGGGGGGGTTGGCTGTTCACCTGCTCACCATTTTATCCTGTTCTCCTAAATTATTTTTCAGAAAAAAAAGAGAGGGAGGAAGAGAGAGGCATTCTCTGCCTTGTGTGCCAGTGAACCGCTCGCCCGGGCTAGTAAAAGGGTCTGCCTATTGGGTCAGGAGCGCCAAGCCTGTGTGTGATAAAGAGAGACGTCACATAGACGGATAACGCAATGGGGGCCCGATAGGAAAACTTAGAAAGTGAGTCTTGCTTCACGACGAGTGTCAGATTTAGCTAAACCTTCTGCTTTTTAAAAATTTATAATGGAAGCCCCAAATATGGGTCGTAGACGCGAGGTCACCCTGTGGGGTCTTCTGCGTGTTGTGAATATTGTGCCTTTCCTTATCTGTTTCCAGGTTTCCAAATCTCCCCCACTTCCCCTCCTCTTGTTG